TCCGTTCCTGAGAGCTCATCGTTAGTCAGAATAATCGTTAGTCAAGTTAATTTTCCCCATAAGAAATAATGGAAATCAAATTAATCTGTGCAAGACACCCAAAAGTATTGAAAAAAAAAATTTTTAACACATGAAATATTAATTTTAATACACACAAACTGAAGAAGACATGCAGTTACATGACACTTACCTTTATTGAAGATCTGGTGATGATTGATGGGATGGGAAGAGGGGAGTGTGTTGATGGTCTTAGTGTTTAGAAGGGGAATCCCCTTCCATTAGGACTTGAGGTGGCAAGTCCTTTTCTGGGGTTACTTCCCTTCTTCTTTTAATGCCACTAGGACCAGCTTGAGAGTCACTGGACCTCTGTCGCACAACATATCTGCCCATAGAGGCATGTACCTCCCGTTCCTTTATGACATTCCTGAAGTGTTTCACAACATTGTCAATGTCACCATTAAACACTTGTTCAGGTTTCAGTCCTTCACTGTCTATGTACTCCTTGAATTCCTGCACATATTTTTCAGCTGCTTTTTGGTCCAAACTGGCAGCCTCACCATGCCTTATCACACTATGTATGCCACTACGATTCTTAAATCTTTCAAACCAACCTTTGCTGACCTTAAATTCACTCACATCACCACTAGTTGCTGGCATTTTTTTTATTAAATTGTCATGCAACTTCCTAGCCTTTTCACATATGATCGCTTTAGAGATGCTATCTCCTGCTATCTGTTTTTCGTTTATCCATACCAATAACAGTCTCTCAACATCTTCTATCACTTGCGATCTCAGTTTCGAAAACATAGTTGCACCTTTGGCAAGAACAGCTTCCTTGATTGCCGTTTTCTTGGCCACAATAGTAGCGATGGTTGATTGGGGTTTTGTGTACAACCTGGCCAGCTCGGAGACATGCACTCCACTTTCATACTTAGCAATGATCTCTTTCTTCATATCCATAGTAATTCTCACCCTTTTTGCTGTAGGGTTGGCACTAGAAGCTTTCTTGGGGCCCATGGTGACTTATTTTGCAGGTGCAATCACTAAAAAGGCTGTGATAATATGAAATGTTCCGATTGTATGCTTGGAAGCGACCGCGGTGGCTTCCAAGCATACAATCGGAACATTTATATCACAAAAAAATTTCCTCGGTATTTGATTGAAAACCCTGTATTCGATACAATTCATACGAGACCTGTCCACATGTGGTCTGAACTGCCCCTTGTGTGCCAGTGTTTACAAGCCAGCCAGTGTGCGCGCATCTAAGGATACATTCGGTACATTCCATATTATCCATATTATCACTGTGTTTGGTGCTTGTTTCTGCAAAATAAGTCACCATGGGCCCCAAGAAACCTTCTAGTGCCAATCCTGTGGTAAAAAGGGCGAGAATTAGTAAGGAAATTAACCCTGAGAAGCCTATACCAGTTGTGGAATACATTGTGCCTACTACAAAAATTAAGGAAATGTGTGCACAGTGTGTTGAAGTGCAAACCTTTATGGATGAAAATCACCCTAACACAGCTATTACAATGACAATGTTGTGGCCCATTTAAGACAAATCGTAAAGGAACGGGAGGTACAGAGCTCTATGGACAGATATGTTGTGCGACAGAGGTCCAGTGACGCTCAAGCTGGTCCTAGTGGCATTAAAAGAAGAAGGGAAGTAACCCCGGAAAAGGACTTGCTACCTCAAGTCCTAATGGAAGGGGATTCCCCTTCTAAACACTAACACCTCTCCCCTCCTCCCATCCCATCAATCATCACCAGATCTTCATTAAAGATAAGTGTCAATTATTTTATTGTTATTGTAATTATTCTATTGCATTAAACTTAATATTTCATGTAGTAATTTTTTTTTTCATACTTTTGGGTGTCTTGCACAGATTAATTTGTTTTCCATTATTTCTTATGAGGAAAATTGATTCAGTTTTCGATATTATCAGTATTCGATGAGCTCTCAGGAACGAACTAATATCGAATACCGGGGGTCCACTGTACATACCTGGCTGGCAGGAGGCCCTGTGGCCTGGCTGGCAGGGGGCCCCATGGCCTGGCTGGCAGGGGGCCCCATGGCCTGGCTGGCAGGGAGCCCCATGGCCTGGCTGGCAGGGAGCCCCATGGCCTGGCTGGCAGGGAGCCCCATGGCCTGGCTGGCAGGGGACCCCATGGCCTGGCTGGCAGAGGGCCCCATGGCCTGGCTGGCAGGGAGCCCCATGGCCTGGCTGGCAGGGGGCCCCATGGCCTGGCTGGCAGGGGGCCCCATGGCCTGGCTGGCAGGGGCCCCATGGCCTGGCTGGCAGGGGGCCATATAGCCTGGCTGGCAGGGGGCCACATAGCCTGGCTGGCAAGGGGCCCCATAGCCTGGCTGGCAGGGGGCCCCATAGCCTGGCTGGCAGGGGGCCCCATGGCCTGGCTGACAGGGGGCCCCATAGCCTAGCTGGAAGGGGGCCCCATAGCCTGGCTGGCAGGGGGCCCCATGGCCTGGCTGGCATGGGGCCCTATAGCCTGGCTGGCAGGGGGCCCCATAGCCTGGCTGGCAGGGGACCCCCCTCCCCCCTTTCCCCCCCCCCAAACAACCCCCTTTCCCCTGGCGGGGTCACCAAACCCCCGTCCCCCCCAAAGCGCCCCCGTCATCCTAGGGAGTCTCTCACCCTGTCACTCGGGATCGTAATCCCTCCCCTTTGGGGCGAATCTCCTGTATGTGTCGCCCATGTACCCTAGCTGAGTTCACTACCCTGTCCTCCTACTGAGTCGTATCTACCTCACTCCAGCTAGTCGTCATCTCACACTGTCTCCAGCTGTGATCGTCCACCTGTACTCCTAGGCTCTTAATCTGCTACTACTATCTACACTCACTTATCGTCATCTACCTGCCCTGCTAGTCGTACTACCTGTCACTTCTATCTGAGTCATACATCTACTCTCCTCTACATCTTCTACCTGACCTCCTTACGAGTCGTCCTCTTCCTCAGTCTCCTAGGAGTGTTTCTGACTTCTACGTCCCCCCCGGGTCTGTGACCACTCTAGGCTGCATTCCTGATCACAGCTGTGTCCCGCGCTAACCGCACAACCGTCAGTCTACATAGTCCTGCTGAGTCAAGCTGAATGTTCAGCTGCTGTCATCACCCTTGCCATCTTGTACATCTCAGCACTTATTTCTGGAGCTTACCCTGTGAGCCGGGCTACGCCTGGTGGTACTCACTGCCGTCGACCAGCCCTGCTCGAATTCGAGCAACGGACTTCTAGGACTTGCACTGTATATCCGTCTCTCACCTCCAGGTAGGTTTATCATATCTGCCTCTCTGTCGTACCTCGTGCACTTACCCGCTACTCATGTGTTTTCTCTACCTCATCTCTCGCTTCTGTCGCTATCTAGTCCTCTTGAATGTAGGATCATCTATCCTAGCTTATGTTTCAATACCTGGTTCCTACATGCGCTTAGCCTCATTTTCCCTTTTCAGTCTACTCCTGGTCCTACCTGTTCACTACTAGCGTACCCTGCCATTTCCTACTGAGTCGAAACATCTACCGGTCACTTCTCAGCTGATGACATCCTTTAACCCTTTTCCTCCTAGCTCAGTTACGCTACTACTGAGCTCACTTCTACATTTCGATTCTGTCATCCCTCATCTAGCTGTACATCTACAGTCACCATCTGACCTGTTTTCCTTACTGACACCCCTGTACATTACGCTGATTCGCTATCTAATCCCCTGCCTACTGTGATCGTCAGTCTACTGTCTACACTACCTTTATATAATCTGTACTTAGCTCCTGCTCCTAGTACATCTACACATCCTACAACCTGCTTCCTATGCGGGTTTCATCATACTACCCTGACATTCCTGTAGTCATTGCATCTACCTCCACTCCTGACTTGTAACTACTGTCACTCCTAGCTACCCATTAACATTAATCTATCGGCTTACTCCTCCTGCCTTATACCTGTTACTTGCTGGAGCCTAGCTGAGCGTACACTACCTTATGCAACCTTGTACCTTACTGATGCCTTGTACTATGCTTGACCTTTTGTATAATTTACTTGTGCCTGTAAATCTAGCCTTTACTTAAGCTGACCTTATCATTAGCTAGTTTGACTACTTGTACAAATAGTTTTACCATTGTGACTTTACTTACTGTACCTATAGCTGGACATTGACGTAAATTGAAGCTAGCTCATATAGCTGACCTTGTAATTGCTGGAAAGCCTTGTACATATCAGCTTAAAGCTGAATGGATAATATAAAGCTAGCGGAATGTAGGAGCCACTATAGTGAGCTAGTCATGAAACTGAGCCTTGGTACAAATAGCATGCCTAAGCAAGGACATGTGTTTTAATAAGAACCCTTGTTAGTGAGAGCGGAAAAAGGCTCGTAGATGAATTTGTCAAACCGAAAAATTCATTTAAATCAGTAAGATCTTACGGAAGACCTGGTAGAAAGAGAAAGCCGAGCTGTAGGAGGGATTAAATCCAGGACTCGAGTGTAAATTCAGGGCTTAGCGGAATTATCTGGACCCATATGTAGTAGGAAATCTGCTGTATATCAGACTTAACTGCAGTAGGACATGGATAACCCGTACTACTTACTGCTAGGGAAAGGACCAGGTGTAGAATAACTCAGGTAGCTACTTAAGGGAACAGGAAGGTAGATAAAACACTCGGTCCTATTTAAACTGCTAGGTAACAGGACAGGTGAGGATAACTCAGGTCCTACTTATGCTAGGTGAACATGGACAGGTGTATATAAACTCAGGTACCTACTTACGCTGGGTGAACAGACGTGTGGATTGAAACCCAGGTACCTACTTATGCAAGGTGAACAAGGACAGGTGTAGAAACTATGAATTACTGCTAGGTCACAAGGACAGTTGGATAGACTCAGGTTACTACTGCTAGGTGAACAAGGACAGCAGGTCAAATTAAAGGACCCAACTTTCACCGTCCCGGGGGATTCAAACCCACGGACACTCAGGCGGGTGTGGTACCTAATACCTACCAATTTCTGAAGCAAGTAGCAGCACAGCAAGCACAGTCAGGGTACCTAGCGTCCATGATGTCACAAATATGACGGCACTGGTCCTCTGAGGGGCATTATGTGGCATATCTTGTTAGGCAGTGATGGTGTTGTTGTTGTAGTGTAGGACCACTCCTAGCTGAGTCGTACCTCTACCCTGTCACTCCTAGCTGAGTCGTACCTCTACCCTGTCACTCCTAGCAGAGTCGTACATCTACCCTGTCACTCCTAGCAGAGTCGTACATCAACCCTGTCACTCCTAGCTGAGTCGTACCTCTACCCTGTCACTCCTAGCAGAGTCGTACATCTACCCTGTCACTCCTAGCAGAGTCGTACATCTACCCTGTCACTCCTAGCTGAGTCGTACATCTACCCTGTCACTCCTAGCTGAGTCGTACCTCTACCCTGTCACTCCTAGCAGAGTCGTACCTCTACCCTGTCACTCCTAGCTGAGTCGTACCTCTACCCTGTCACTCCTAGCTGAGTCGTACCTCTACCCTGTCACACCTAGCTGAGTCGTACCTCTACCCTGTCACTCCTAGCTGAGTCGTACATCTACCCTGTCACTCCTAGCTGAGTCGTACCTCTACCCTGTCACTCCTAGCTGAGTCGTACATCTACCCTGTCACTCCTAGCTGAGTCGTACATCTACCCTGTCACTCCTAGCTGAGTCGTACATCTACCCCGTCACTCCTAGCTGAGTCGTACCTCTACCCTGTCACTCCTAGCTGAGTCGTACCTCTACCCTGTCACTCCTAGCAGAGTCGTACCTCTACCCTGTCACTCCTAGCTGAGTCGTACCTCTACCCTGTCACTCCTAGCTGAGTCGAAACCTCTACCCTGTCACTCCTAGCTGAGTCGTACCTCTACCCTGTCACTCCTAGCTGAGTCGTACCTCTACCCTGTCACTCCTAGCTGAGTCGTACCTCTACCCTGTCACTCCTAGCTGAGTCGTACATCTACCCTGTCACTCCTAGCTGAGTCGTACCTCTACCCTGTCACTCCTAGCTGAGTCGTACCTCTACCCTGTCACTCCTAGCTGAGTCGTACATCTACCCTGTCACTCCTAGCTGAGTCGTACCTCTACCCTGTCACTCCTAGCTGAGTCGTACATCTACCCTGTCACTCCTAGCTGAGTCGTACATCTACCCTGTCACTCCTAGCTGAGACGTACATCTACCCTGTCACTCCTAGCTGAGTCGTACATCTACCCTGTCACTCCTAGCTGAGTCGTACATCTACCCTGTCACTCCTAGCTGAGACGTACATCTACCCTGTCACTCCTACCTGAGTCGTACATCTACCCTGTCAACTCCTAGCGAGTCGTACATCTACCCTGTCACTCCTAGCTGAGACGTACATCTACCCTGTCACTCCTAGCTGAGTCGTACATCTACCCTGTCACTCCCAGCTGAGACGTACATCTACCCTGTCACTCCTAGCTGAGTCATACATCTACCCTGTCACTCCTGAGTCGTACATCTACCCTGTCACTCCTAGCTGAGTCGTACATCTACCCCGTCACTCCTAGCTGAGTCGTACATCTACCCTGTCACTCCTAGCTGAGTCGTACCTCTACCCTGTCACTCCTAGCTGAGTCGTACATCTACCCTGTCACTCCTAGCTGAGTCGTACCTCTACCCTGTCACTCCTAGCTGAGTCGTACATCTACCCTGTCACTCCTAGCTGAGTCGTACATCTACCCTGCCACTCCTAGCTGAGTCGTACCTCTACCCTTCACTCCTAGCTGAGTCGACATCTACACTGTCACTCCTAGCTGAGTCGTACCTCTACCCTGTCACTCCTGGCTGAGTCGTACATCTACCCTGTCACTCCTAGCTGAGTCGTACATCTACCCTGTCACTCCTAGCTGAGTCGTACATCTACCCTGCCACTCATAGCTGAGTCGTACATCTACCCTGTCACTCCTAGCTGAGTCGTACATCTACCCTGTCACTCCTAGCTGAGTCGTACATCTACCCTGTCACTCCTAGCTGAGTCGTACATCTACCCTGTCACTCCTAGCTGAGTCGTACATCTACCCTGTCACTCCTAGCTGAGTCGTACATCTACCCTGTCACTCCTAGCTGAGTCGTACATCTACCCTGTCACTCCTAGCTGAGTCGTACATCTACCCTGTCACTCCTAGCTGAGTCGTACATCTACCCTGTCACTTCTAGCTCAGTCGTACATCTACCCTGTCACTCCTAGCTGAGTCGTACATCTACCCTGTCACTCCTAGCTGAGTCGTACATCTACCCTGTCACTCCTAGCTGAGTCGTACATCTACCCTGTCACTCCTAGCTGAGTCGTACATCTACCCTGTCAACTCCTAGCTGAGTCGTACATCTACCCTGTCACTCCTAGCTGAGTCGTACATCTACCCTGTCACTCCTAGCTGAGTCGTACATCTACCCCGTCACTCCTAGCTGAGTCGTACTTTCTACCCTGTCACTCCTAGCTGAGTCGTACATCTACCCTGTCACTCCTAGCTGAGTCGTACATCTACCCTGTCACTCCTAGCTGAGTCGTACATCTACCCCGTCACTCCTAGCTGAGTCGTACATCTACCCTGTCACTCCTAGCTGAGTCGTACATCTACCCTGTCACTCCTAGCTGAGTCGTACATCTACCCTGTCACTCATAGCTGAGTCGTACATCTACGCTGTCACTCCTAGCTGAGTCGTACATCTACCCTGTCACTCCTAGCTGAGTCGTACATCTACCCTGTCACTCCTAGCTGAGTCGTACATCTACCCTGTCACTCCTAGCTGAGTCGTACCTCTACCCTGCCACTCCTAGCTGAGTCGTACATCTACCCTGTCACTCCTAGCTGAGCCGTACATCTACCCTGTCACTCCTAGCTGAGTCGTACATCTACCCTGTCACTCCTAGCTCAGTCGTACATCTACCCTGTCACTCCTAGCTGAGTCGTACATCTACCCTGCCGCTCCTAGCTGAGTCGTACACCTACCCTGTCACTCCTAGCTGAGTCGTACACCTACCCTGTCACTTATAGCTGATTCGTACATCTACCCTGTCACTCCTAGATGAGTCGTACACCTACCCTGTCACACCTAGCTGAGTCGTACATCTACCCTGTCACTCCTAGCTGAGTCGTACACCTACCCTGTCACTCCTAGCTGAGTCGTACATCTACCCTGTCACTCCTAGCTGAGTCGTACATCTACCCTGTCACTCCTGAGTCGTACATCTACCCTGTCACTCCTAGCTGAGTCGTACATCTACCCTGTCACTCCTAGCTGAGTCGTACATCTACCCTGCCGCTCCTAGCAGAGTCGTACACCTACCCTGTCACTCCTAGCTGAGTCGTACGCCTACCCTGTCACTCCTAGCTGAGTCGTACATCTACCCTGTCACTCCTAGATGAGTCGTACACCTACCCTGTCACTCCTAGCTGAGTCGTACATCTACCCTGTCACACCTAGCTGAGTCGCACATCTACCCTGCCACCCCTAGCTGAGTCGTACACCTACCCTGTCACTCCTAGCTGAGTCGTACATCTACCCTGTCACTCCTAGCTGAGTCGTACATCTACCCTGTCACTCCTAGCTGAGTCGTACACCTACCCTGTCACTCCTAGCTCAGTCGTACATCTACCCTGTCACTCCTAGCTGAGTCGTACATCTACCTTGTAACTCCTAGCTGAGTCGTACATCTACCCTGTCACTCCTAGCTGAGTCGTACATCTACCCTGTCACTTCTAGCTGAGTCGTACACCTACCTACCCTGTCACTCCTAGCTGAGTCATACATCTACCCTGTCACTCCTAGCTGAGTCGTACATCTACCCTCTCACTCCTAGCTGAGTCGTACATCTACCCTGTCACTCCTAGCTGAGTCGTACACCTACCCTGTCACTCCTAGCTGAGTCGTACATCTACCCTATCACTCCTAGCTGAGTCGAACATCTACCCTGTCACTCCTAGCTGAGTCGTACATCTACCCTGTCACTCCTAGCTGAGTCGTACACCTACCCTGTCACTCCTAGCTGAGTCGTACATCTACCCTGTCACTCCTAGCTGAGTCGTACATCTACCCTGTCACTCCTAGCTGAGTCGTACATCTACCCTGTCACTCCTAGCTTAGTCGTACATCTACCCTGTCACTCCTAGCTGAGTCGTACATCTACCCTGTCACTCCTAGCTGAATCGTACATCTACCCTGTCACTCCTAGCTTAGTCGTACATCTACCCTGTCACTCCTAGCTGAATCGTACATCTACCCTGTCACTCCTAGCTTAGTCGTACATCTACCCTGTCACTCCTAGCTGAGTCGTACATCTACCCTGCCACTCGTAGCTGAGTCGTACATCTACCCTGTCACTCCTAGCTGAGTCGTACATCTACCCTGTCACTCCAAGCTAAGTCGTAAATCTACCCTGTCACTCCTAGCTGAGTCGTACATCTACCCTGTCACTCCTAGCTGAGTCGTACATCTACCCTGCCACTCCTAGCTGAGTCGTACATCTACCCTTTCACTCCTATCTGAGTCGTACATCTATCCTGCCACTCCTAGCTGAGTCGTACATCTACCCTGTCACACCTAGCTGAGTCGTACATCTACCCTGTCACTCCTGGCTTAGTCGTACATCTACCCTGTCACTCCTGGCTGGGTCGCACATCTACCCTGTCACTCCTAGCTGAGTCGTACATCTACCCTGTCACTCCTAGCTGAGTCGTACATCTACCCTGTCACTCCTAGCTGAGTCGTACATCTACCCTGTCACTCCTGGCTTAGTCGTACATCTACCCTGTCACTCCTGGCTGAGTCGTACATCTACCCTGTCACTCCTAGCTGAGTCGTACATCTAACCTGTCACTCCTAGCTGAGTCGTACATCTACCCTGTCACTCCTAGCTGAGTCGTACATCTACCCTGTCACTCCTAGCTGAATCGTACATCTACCCTGTCACTCCTAGCTTAGTCGTACATCTACCCTGTCACTCCTAGCTGAATCGTACATCTACCCTGTCACTCCTAGCTTAGTCTTTACATCTACCTGTCACTCCTAGCTGAGTCGTACATCTACCCTGCCACTCGTAGCTGAGTCGTACATCTACCCTGTCACTCCTAGCTGAGTCGTACATCTACCCTGTCACTCCAAGCTAAGTCGTTCATCTACCCTGTCACTCCTAGCCGAGTCGTACATCTACCCTGTCACTCCTAGCTGAGTCGTACATCTACCCTGCCACTCCTAGCTGAGTCGTACATCTAC